ATTTGCAAATCAACATTTTCAAAATCAATTTGTGTCTGCAAATTGCCTGAATGACTATAGGCAAATAATCAGTCTAAAGGAAGCCCTGTATTATTAGGCTGGTTTTGGGCTAACTCAGATTGGATGGGTTTCTTATGGGGGCATTTATATAAGAGTGCACAAAAACAAATAAAGTGAGATACAATGCAATGGCCAAAGATGCTCATCTATTAGTGTACTACTATAGCAGTGATGCTTTAAAGTGCATTATCTTTATTTACTGAGAGGGTTTGTACCACCCATACCCCAAACAGCTACAACACAGAATGTAAATTAAAAGAATTGCAGCTTAAATTATTAAAACATTACTTTTAATCTTAATAATACAACATCATTCAGAGTAAAAAAAAAAAAAAAGCTGAGTAAATGCAAATAACCCTCTGTCTGGGCCAAAGGAGGAAAAAAACTAAATACCCTGACCGCAACTCTCCAAGCAGGGCATTCCAGCAGTGAGTTGTGGTTTGTGAACACACACTCCAACAAACCACTTTTGCCTATTTCATGCCCTTAAAATGAATGAATAAAAGCCTGCAAGATCTGAGGTCTCATACAAGAGTGATGTCAAGCCACAGAGGTAATGCTGAATGAGAGTTAAACTTCAAGAGACTTTAGATTGCAATGCAATATTCCTGAATGATTGATACAACCCTCGGGCCTGGGAGGGATGCTCAATATAGTCAAATAAAAAAGGACTTTTGGGGGGGGTGATAAAATGTCCTCTATTCTGTGTTTGATTCAGTGTGGAGCACAGAAGTTCAAGTTTCTGAACGGAAATGTCAAAAATGTTCCTATCTCAATGAATATAGCTACATGTGATGTCAACCTGCAAGTTAACAGGTACAGGAAGTATCTCATAGTAAACCCCCCTCTGCGCTGCAATTTACCATTACTTTTTATGCAGCAACATTTCTCTTGTAAAATATGGCAGATCCCGAGAATGACATTTCTATGAGAAATGAGTGAAAAACAGCATTAAAGCTCACTTCTAGCATTTGAAATAAATCCACTGCTGCAGTCTTGGTCTATAACAGCACTGGGTTTCATTAGTGCATGATGATGAGGGCTAGACAAAGGAAGTGAGCACTTAATTCCCGTGTGTGTGTGTGTGTGTGTGTGTGTGTGTGTGAGAAAGAGAGAGTGTGCAAAAGAAAGAGAACTCAAACTTCCTATTGGACAAGGTGAAATATTGGGACCCGCGTCAGCCTGTCATTTTAAGAGAAGGGAAAAAAAGTGGTTGCCAAGGACAACAAGGGGGAGTGGAAAATGAAAACATGTCCCACTTTCCTTTCCCCATCCAATTTCTCTCTCCAGTGACAGCAGCCAGAGGTCAAGCCAGTGTACTTGTGGAACTACACACTGAAAAAAATCATTTTATTCATATTTCTATATCTATGTGCATCAGCCAACTACCATTTGTTTGGATTAATGTTGCAAAAAATAGCAAACCATTATAGCAATTATGTCAGCAAAGTCCAAATGTATAAGGCTGCAGTCCTTATAATGCAGCAAATTTCCTTGTTTCCCTGAAATACATAAGCCAAATGAGCTGAAACATCATTGTACTGAACATGAGGATATGAGCAATGTTTCATAACATCATCATTCTTTTGTTGCGATAAGATTACTATAAGATTATGAGTGCACAGTGAACAAAAGCCCAATAAAACCTTATTTTCGAATCATACCTGGGGCGCCATTAATCGATACAACCGGATTTGCAGTTGTTTGATGCTTTTCAAGGTTATACAATGGGCAAGCTACTCATGTTACATTGTGCCCAAGTAGCACACAGTCAGTCTGCAAAACCCTGACACATCGCTAAAGAGAGACAGTGAACTTATTCAGGACAGCAAAAGATTTCATAACGACTCTTGATGGACTGACTAGATACTGTCAGCTGTGAGTTATCCCACACAGGACTCAACAATGAGGATGGCCTGATGGTACGCAGTGTGAGAGAGTTTTGGGACAGTTGGCAGATCTGTCACTTGTCCTATCGGGTCAGTTGCTGCACTGTCACTACATCTTGTATTCGCTGATTATGGACATGTGTTTTAATGTCTTGCAAACTAAAACATTTCTCATAAGTTTGACAAGTTGCAAATTCTGCTTTTTAATGTCACCAAGTTAAAATTACCTATAGCTTGATAACACTGAGGTTTGCAGGAATGAAATATCAGTATATAATGGGTCAGTAAGATGTGTGTGTGTGTGTGTGTGTGTTTGTCTGTCTATATATAAACAAAATTATATTCTATTTCAAATAAACCCTAATGATCCTGAAAAAAAAAATGTACAACAGTTTCCACAAACATATTAAGCAGAAAATCTTTTTTCAACACTGAAAATAAAAAATGTTTCTTGTGCACAAAATCATTAGAGTGACTGTCATGTGGCACTGAACTGAAGACTGAAGTAATGGCTGCTGAAAATTCAGCTTTGTCATCACAGAATTAAATTAGCCTACATTTTAGCACGTTTAAAAAACAGAAAACAGTTATTTTAATTTTAATTAAATTTCACAATATTACAGTTTCTTCTGTATTTTCAATCAAATAAATGCAGCCTCACTGCGCATTCAGACCCCAACAGAAGTGTAATGAAAACTATATTTTTCTGACTCGTACACAGATGTGTCGCTAAAAATAAAATGGATCATTGTGTCATGTGGCGGAAATACTCGCATGGCAAGTAAAAATCTGAATTACTGGCCTGAATGAGCCAGCAGAAAAGAAAAAATCTTTACTCTTGAGCCCTGCCTATAATTTTCATCTAATGTCTATGCACTATGCATTGTGCTTTTTGCAATAAAAATACAGAAAGCACAAAGCCGTTCACAAAAACAAAACAAAGGCAAAAATAAATAAACAAACAAACAAACAGACAACCTTTTGAAGAGTCTTCACACAGTTCATTTTCTATACAAGGACAGGACCAAAAGCACTAATGAAAAAATGCAATGTATTCTATAAATACTATAAATGCACTACATGCAAGTCGTGCACTAATTTCCAGTCATACCGAAAGTTATGAGGAACAGATCAAAAAGTGAGTCATTATTCAGTGAGGTGCAAACTCAAAATGCAGCGAAGACCATTGAGTCAGTTAGCTGAATTTAAGAAATGGATCAGTGAATAAAAGCTGGATGAACCGATTACCCAGTTCACAAATCGAGTTAATCGAGTGGCAAGATCATCAGTGAATAATAACTTAAATTTTCAATCTATTCCTCTCACAGCACTATCATATGACTTGTGATACAGAGCATGTTATATGGACTACTTTTGTGAAATTTTTTTTTAGCAGCGGTCACTGATTTGCATGAATAGCTATTCTTCAAAATATAACAGGTTACAAAATTCATTACAGGTTTTGGAGTGATATGAGAGTGAGTAAAAGATGACAGAACTCACATTTTCAGGTCAACTATCCCTTTAACACAGAACTGCAGCACCATCACACATAAATCTGGCTTAACTGTTGGCACAGGCACATATTGCAGCACAGTAGCAAAGGAAAGGATGGCCTACATCACAGGAAGGTGAAAAAAGAGGGGGAAACCCCTACACATCAACCACAGTCACAACACGTCTACAACATACTGCAGGACCCAAACCGCACACTGCTCTCTTCACTCGATTGTTTCTTGAATTACCTACGTTGATGAACAACAATGGTGCTGATTGAGCTATATTAAGGACGACATTCTCTCAAAAGAGCAGCGGTAGATAAATCAGGACAGAATTGGATTGGTTTGGCTTCATCAAAACGTTTACATTTATTTCTAGCTGCTAGGCTATGAGCAAATCACACCGGCTCTAGTCTTGCTTGGGGGACATCTGATAACCAAAGCACCTGAAATCCCTGAATATTTCCTACAACACCAAATAGTTCTCACTGTGACCATCTCCATTATCACAAAGAAAGCAATTCTTCATTAGCACAGTTGAAGGCTCCTGGGAACAAAGGCTTCATGTGGGAAACTGAGAGATACTGTAGAGGTGAATGAACTCAAGGGGGCCAAACAGGATGGGACTTGATGTAACCCAATTGGGTCATCAGTTAAAACTTTGCCTTTAATTAGACCCTGATGACTTCCAGAATTCCAAAGGAAATAAACAGTCAAGACAAAGACAGGGGAATATGTTCCTGTCCACTAATTTTCCTAAACAATACCCTGTCTAATTACAGAGGTCCAAAATAAGGCAGGGTGCACAAGCCTCTTTTTGAAATACAAATAAAGGCAGGTCAGTGAGGGAGGACCTGTTAGATGAAGCAAAATAGCTCTCTCGTGGGGACTATACTAGCTTTTTACACGCACAAACATCTCTAACATGCCAAGTATGCTTTTGGAACTCATTAGTATCTATAATGTTATGCTGGGAAACTCGAAGAGTATCTCTTAAATCAAGTCATTCACATATTTGAAACTGGTTATAACATGCTGGTGGCTACTGACAGCTCCAATTGAACATGCATGCTTATTCCTAGGATAAATCTTCCTCTTTATTAAATGACGTGTCCGCATACATGAAGGCATTACATCTGTAATAACTGCACACTACGCATACTCAGCTAGCCTAGCTTTATGTGCATTTAGCATTCAGGTGCTCTTAACTGCTCCTTTGGGTGAAAAAGTTACCAAAATGCGGCATATCTAGTTGTTTCAACCTCTTTGTGCAATAAACCAAAGAACTTACGTGATGTTAATGTTTTCTTTTGGTCTAGCATGCAAGCTAACCATAATAACTAAGCTTTGCTTACTAGTTCTATGTGGAAGAGTGAAATAGGTCACTATTTGAAGTTTATCCGGTTGTAATAACCAACATTATGGATAAATATTTAAAGGCTGTTGTGGTTTTAATACACAAGGCACAACTGTAAATGTAGCTAATTCAGCAGCTCGCCATGGCAGATTAGCAAGCAAAGCAAAAAAGGAGAAAAAATGCCTTCAACCCTACCTGAGTCAAGTTTACTACTCCTCTCTTCTCTTCTTGCTCATAAAACGAGCCAAAATCCAAGCCAGCGACTCTTGGTATTTGCTTAGCCGAGCAAAATCTCTCGTACTTTTCTTTCGTAGTGTTATTGAGTAAAAAAAAAAAAAAAAGCCTCTGCGCGTCCCGGGTTCACACACACATACACACATACAAACACATATATGAAGCGCTAGCAGGCTGCTAGTACTTTTACGTTATACCACCCGTACCACATTAGTCGCTTTTAATGCGTCGTTCAACAACAAAACAGCTCACATAGAGTCTGTGCTCTTCGCTTTCTGTTTGCCGTGAGCAAATATTACATGTAGTGTTGTATCCTCCTCCTATTCAGTAAAACAATGAGGGGAGGGCTAAGCGTCAGGATTTGGTTAGCAATGTCGCTACGCCATCTATCTACTCGAGCTCGGATGAGGCATATAGAGCAAAAAGGTCCAATCAGCCTTCTGTGTCGGTTGGACCTATACACACACACACACACGCACACAATGTCTGTCGTTAAAAAATTTGGGGTCGGGTAAGATTCTTTTAACTGGAATAACTAAAACGTAAATTACGTAAAATAATCAAAAAGAAAGACACTTATAATGTTACAAAAGAGTCATATTACAGATATATATATATATAACACCTTTTTATTATAACACTTAACACCTTATAATAATATTATATGTATATAGAATAAATATAGAATTTTAGAATTAATATATGTCATATATTAATTAATTAATGTGTCATAATTCGTAATATAATATAATATAATATAATAATCTTTAATATAATATAATCTTTTGTCATCAGGCTTTTCCCATAGGAGGGCAACAACACCACATTATTGAACTGTTGTCCACTAGGTGGCTTCAGACGGATGGCCTACAATTACTCATAAATCTTTATGACGTCATTCATAATCTATGCAAATCTGGATGAAGTTGATTTAAAAAATTATAAAATGACTTAATTTCATTTCAATAACTTCACACACATCTCTCACTATCACCAACAAAGGCTGGTAGGGGTTTATGCTTTCAAATAAAGCACAAAAAACTACAGTATCTTGGTTTCAGGATGGTTTTGTCCTACTTTCATATTTAGTGGTGTTCAAAGAAAAAAAAAATCCTCTGGTAATATATCTTCTTTCCACCAAAGATATCAAAATAGCACAATAACAGGACACACAAAAAATTGCTCACACCCAGTACATAAACCAAACAATGAGTAGGGTGTATCCACTGTGGAAGTGTTGAATGGCAAGCGGTGTTCTAACATGAAAGACCAGCCTCTGTAATGTGATCACCAAACATGAATGAAGTGCAGTACCACAAGCCCTACTGACAGCTGACAGAACACACAGCCAGCTGCACCACTTTCTGCACTTTTATCTCCCTTTAATCTGCTCCTCTAATCAGATCTCTTGTAATTTGTACCTCTTTGAACTGGACACAGCCCTGAATGCACACTAAGCAGAGAGCCAGGTGTTTTTTGGCTACCTGTGTTCCTGTGAACTCATGTGCTGTCAAACAGCATCTGCAAAGCAAGGCATTAATCACAGAAGAAAATACAGTTACGATCTGTGGGACTATTACAATATGAGCCAAAATGAGCTTTGTCCATCACCTGTAAGGTTAAGGAAAGTTCAAAATCTTAATTTTATAGATTAGCGGTCCAACATGAGATTATGTAATCTAAATCTAAATTACACTGAATCTAGGACAATATGATGTTATTTTCTGCTGTTTCATTAACATCTTGTCAAAAGGGGCATTGAAGAAAAGTTAATAGACTGGGTGGGTGGTCGATCTGTCTAGGCCCCTCCCAAAGTGGGCTGGTTTTGGGAGATAAAGTCTATAATTTGACAGGATACATATATTTTCTCTTCAGCAGTCCCGAGGCAGGAAACCCAGGGGTTGCACCAAGTGAACATCCCCCCTTTCCTTCTCCCTTAGCCTCTCTCTCTCAGACACATCCAGACTTACTGGTGCTGACCCATACAGCTGGTGGGATGCTGACCTTTCTGAGGGGAGCTGTGCAGCCGGTGACTGTCAGCAGGACGAGGGATATTGTCCAGAAACGCAACTCCAGCATTTACAGCAAACCAGCCAAAAGCAAGATCGGACCTGGGGTGAGTGAAAAAATTACAAAATCCTAAAAGGTTGCAAAGATTCAAGGGATCAGCCAACATTAGTTTAACTGAGGTCAATGGAGATAATGGGATTAACTTGGATGACTCCTTGTATTGAAGAATATAATCCTTGTGGTTAGACAAGAACAGAATAACAATGTCAAATCAAGCAAACCATCCAGACATCATATTGGTTCACATAGTTAGTAGTATAAATATAGTCATTATATAACTGTTCAAAGGTTTGAGGTCAGTATGATTTTCATTTCTTGACTGAAATTCATTCTTTAATTCAGCAAGAATGTATTAAATTGATCAAAAGCGACAGTAAAGACATTAATAATTTTACAAAAGATTTCTGTTTAAAATAAATGCTGTTATTTTGAACTTTCTATTTACGAAAAAAAAAATCCTAAAAAAGGATTGTGGTTTCAGCAAAAATATTAAGCAGCACAACCATTTTCAACATTGATAATAACATTGACACTGAAAATGTTTCTTGAGCATATTAGCATATTATAATCATTTCTGAAGGATCATGTGACACTAAAGACTGGAATAATGCATACATCAATAAGTTTATATTTATCTTATTTTATATTTATGTTTGTATATATTTTATAAGTTTATATACATATATATATATATATTAACTTTATGTATATATATATATATATATATATATATATATATAAAGTACTATATAAAGTTTATATATACATATATATAGTAAGTTAAGTATTTTAAATGTAATAATATTTTACATATTACTGTTTTTAAATTAAATAGCAGTGCAAATTTTGTAAGTATTTAAAGCTGTTAAATTTCATGTGTGTTTCCGCAGCAAAGTTTCTTCATCATGTCTGTGTTTGCCGTTGCCCTCCTGGCCCCCGCCGGGTGGATTCTGCACCACATCCCAGAATATCGTCAGAGAGC